ATCAACAATTAAATCCTGCTCGTATGAGTGTTTTACGTACAGCACAAAGTCGTATTGATTCAGATGGAATTAATAATGTTAAATATAAATTATTAAATACAACTTTTTATCATCTTTATACTCATTTTTTAATTGATGTTGGTGAACAACCAAAATAACTTATATATTTAGTTATTAATTAGATCATTTATATTTTCTTTTTTTGTTTTTTGTTATGAAAAGAAAAAAAAAAAAGTTATGTTTAGATATCTAAATTTCTTCTTTCGATTGCTATTTTAGTTATAGAGATAGACTCCAAAAAAACAAAAAAAAAGATATTAGCCAGAAAGAATGCTACATTGATTTTCATCTGTTCCATCACCACAATGATTTCGTCCATCACATTGAAGTTGTTTTGAAATACAATTTTTATTTTTACATTGAAAAAATCCAAGACTTTGAGGACATGAAGCAATCACTAAATTCAAAAAATAATCATCAAATAATCATTTATACTAAGAAAATCATACTTGGAAAATGAAGTGCTATTGCAGCTTGAAATCCAGATGATTCAACAGCTGAATTACTTGTAAATATCATTAATAATTGTGTTGTTGAAGTCTAAATAATAAGAAAATCTTTTTTTTCTTCTTTAAATCTAAATCTTAATAAAAATAAACTTACGACAAAAGTAAACGGTGCAGGTGAACCACATTGTGTTTTAGAATCTTTATTAAGTAATGTTGTACCATCATAGATACGTAATGAATCACCTGGACAATCAATAATATCCATTTTTTCTATGGTAATAATCAATCGTTGACTTGGTTGAGCTGTACGAAATTTCACAGCACAATTAACATTTTGTTTGTATTTACTGCTGCTTGTTAACTGTAATGAAATACCTGGTACTTTATCACCATCGAAGATAAAATGATCATTTCCACACATTTTATCCATATAGTCTGAATGAAAGAAACAAAAAAGAAATTCAATTCGATTTTTTTTAAAACAATTTTCAAAGATGCAATAAAAATCGATAGATTAGAAAAGAATTTTAAGAGAGATCATATCGTGAAAATTATGAATTCAAAGTATTAGGATTTTCTAACATATTAATGAAACACAACGAAGATCGCAATCCTTCATTTTTTCTAGTTGGACCATAAAAATTAAAGCAAAAAATAGCTTTTTACACATTTGGTTGGTTTTTTTAGGATTTTCTCCCCCCTTTTTGTCCATTGCTTTGGATCTCGAAGGATGTTCAATGATGCAGACAAGAATATTCTATAAAATGGGCTACGTCAGTAGTCATTACAATAACTTTTAGTAATGGACCGTGCTTCTACAAGGAAAGATGGTTTCATAGTTTATGAGTTTTAACTTGCCAGTAATTTAGTTCAAGAGCAAAACTGCTTACACAGGTTTTTAGTGGATATCACACTTAATGCACATTGGTAGTCCTCAATAGGGGTGTGAATTTATTGTTATTGTTATTAATAACAAAAAAAATAACAAATAACTTTTTTTTCCAAAAAATCTTAGTTATGCTTTGTTACTATGTAACAGTATACCAGTTCTATTTGCTCATTATTGTCCGATTGCTCGATGATGTTACTGACCGCAATCTCCATTAGATAGCCTATGAAACTGAGAAAAATCCTAAAATGATCTTTTCAAGTATCTTGCTCATCTATAGGCAAAATTTACTGATCGCTTTACGAGGAACGATTCCTCAATGTTCAATTGCCTTTGACTTGATGCATTAGTCAAATATAAGCCTTTGCGAGATGAGAAAATGTCTAGAAAGATTATACAGATCATAACTCGAAAAATGGCACCTTGAATCTCATTTCACAAAGACTTTTATTTGACCAAAACATCAAGTCAAAGGCAATCGAAGATTGAGGAATCGTTCCTCGTAAACCGATTAGTAAATTTTACCTGTAGGTGAGCAAGATACTTGAAAAGATCTTTTTAGGATTTTTCTCAGTTTCATAGGCTATCTAATGGAGATTGCGGTCAGTAACATCATCGAGCAATTAGACAATAATGAGCAAATAGAACTGGTATACTGTTACATAGTAACAAAGCATAACTTAGATTTTTCGGAAAAAAAAGTTATTTGTTATTTTTTTGTTATTAATAACAAATAACTTTGTTTGTTATTTGTTATTGATAACAATAACTTCTCACCCCCAGTCCTCAATAACCATGTTGACTTTTCATTGTATAGAGTATGATTGTTCCAAATAAAAATATGACTTCAGATTCATGATCATGATCAGAAATTGAGTATAAATATGCTATCTGATTTAATATACGCTGTATAAAATTGATTAAAATTGAATCTTTTTCGGCATAAGTACCAAAGCCATATAAAGCTATTACACCTGCGCGCTCGTTTTCAGTAATTTTCATAATTATAGTTCAACTTTAGAGCAACTTAAATAGTTTATTCGAAACCAACGCAAAGATCTATATCAAATCAAATATGCTATTTATTTTACTCTGATATTAAACTATGCTGTGAAAAACTGCTAAGTACAACCAGCATTAGAGGCAAAGTAATACTAACAAACTATGAAGACATTCTTGATTGTCTAAGCACGCTCGATTACTGAAATATATTATAATGACTACTGATGTATCTCATTTTGTAGAGAATTCTTTTTTGTATTTGTGAAAATCCAGCACAACTCAAAGTAATCGATAGAGGCGGAGAAAATCTTTAAAAAGCTATTTTTTTAAAATAATTTTCACGATATGATCTCTTATTTGAACTAAAAAAAAACCAACTTAGCGGTAGTTGATTTGAATGGTAGTATGATGAGACTATCTCTTGAATACTTACGTTTTTCATTGCCAACTTTAGCATCATTTAATCGAATGATCAAACTTAGCAAACATACAGAAGTTAAAATTCGAAATACACTAATTGTTACCATTGTATTTTTTCTATCTTCAAATAATAAAAAAAATATATGTAAGTGAAGAGTATAGAAAAAATATTTGTGTTTTTTTTTCTGCACTGAAATTAAAAAGAAAAGATAAATGTGATCGTTCGTCTTAGCAAATCATTAAATATATCTACCTGATCGTAATAAAAATGAGTCAAGTTGACTTTTTTCTTAATATTTTTAAATTAAAACATGATATAAGATACTGATGAAACTAAGTTTTTGATAGAAAAAATATGAAAATATATAATCTGCCACATGTGGTATATGATTGGTAAAGATTAAGAAATATATTATCGTGAGTTGGACACGATTTTTAAAAATAAATGTCCAGGCACTGAAATATGAAAAAGAAGAGACGAAATATTTTATTTTCATACTATTTTTTTTTTTTGTTTATTATACTTATATTATTGTGCATTTCATTGAAAAATCAACTGTGAATTACTTCTACAAACAATTCAAATGGTACCTACAACTATGAAAAGCAAATTATAGACTAGATTAAATGAATGTCTATAGGATCTTTTCGAACTTGATGAATTTAAGATGATATCAATTACATAAAAGTTTCGAAAGTTTACTTTTGATGATTATCAAAGGCAATGATTTTTACCAAATTATTAAAAACTAAAATTATTTGAATGAATATTAGACGTCATAATAATTCACAGACTAAACATCATTATCAATATAGATTGAAATATTAAAATAAATACTGATGTTAAATAATATGTTTTGAAATAATAAAATCTCCATCTATAAGAATATCGAATGATTTTTGTTCTTTTCAATAAGATTTTATTGGAAAATGTTTATCAATAGATCAAAAGTCATGCATTATTGAGTGACAATATCTTGGATTACCAATTTTTTTAACATTCATTTCATATTATTATTTCTCAATACAATATAGGTACTGCTCCACAACAACGATAACCTCAGCCTCACTTTGTAGTATTCTCCGCTATCATTCAGATCAATTAGTTAAAAGTGTCGTTGACTTAGATATCAACCTAAGGATAGTGTACACAGCAAACCACACATATACCCATGTAACCATCAAACACATTTTAGGTACATTTAGATGCATTTTTTTAGTCAAATTTTGGTGTTCTGACGCTTTTTCGTATCGAAGGATGACAGAAACACATCTAGATGCACCAATCACTGTTTTTTTTAATACGTTTAAAGAAGCTTCATAGTTTCGGAACAGCTTTTAGACTAAACGCATTTTAATTTTTATTCTAGAACGCGTTGGGATGCATGCATGTCATTTTATGTCTCTTATCACGTTTAACGATTAAAAGAGGCTTTCTTTTTTTCCAGTGAACACTATCTAATTGACAGGATAAAAAAAATACGTTTCACAGGATGCTCCTGTAAATTCATCGAACTTGCCGAAACACAGTTGAATATATAGCTATTCCGGATAAATACTTAAAGAAAGGAGTTGCGTCTGTACGAAAATGTGTCCATGAGTTCAACGTGCTGTATTTTCATTGGAATGTGATTGTGATTGGAGAAAATATTGTGTGCGATGATATTAAGTTCAGAAGATAGTAGCTGAAAGCAAAAGGTTATCTTAACTCAGTTGAACAAGAATAACAAGCCGAATCATACGCCTATGAATGGTTCTTTATGATGGTACACCGACAGTTGAGCTCCCGACAATTGAGCCCCGACAGTTGAGCCCCGACAATTGAGCCCCCGACAGTTGAGCCTCCCGACAGTTGAGCCTCCCGACAGTTGAGCTCCCGACAATTGAGCTCCCGACAATTGAGCCTTCATCGATTACTGAAATGAAAAAAGTCCATGTCAGAATGCGCCATCTTGTCGCCTTGGTGATTCGCTGTTTTTTGCTTCTGTGATTAAGACAATCATCTTTACGGAGACGAACAAGTGTTCCAAATAGTTATTTTGTAGAAATTCATTTAATCTTCATTATTAATTCTCGTGCCATATAATTGTTGTATAATGTCAATTGTAAAATCTTCTAGAAACAAGGATCAGCTTTTGCTGGATGGGTTTCGCTATCGACGTGCTAATAAATCTCAATCAATGTGGCGTTGTTACAAAAACAATTGTGCTGGTCGGGTATGTTTTGATGGTACACAATATGTTAAAGTAACAGATCATATACACGCACCAACTCCGGAAGAAATAATTTCAATACAATTTAAATCAAAGATCGCTGATATTGCAGTAACATCGCACTATCCACCTCGACGTGTTATAAACGAAGCACTATTAACTATTAGTAAAGATGATGGAGCAGCTGTTCCAAACTATACTTCATCACAACGTACTATTGAACGAAAACGAAAAAAAAAAGACATACCATTACCAAGACCGAAATCATTTAATGAAATACGTATTTCCGATGAACTTAAAGCAACAAATGGTGGTAGTCGATTCCTATTATACGATAACGAAGATAGTGTTCATAGAATTATTATTTTATCATCTGATGATGATCTTGATCGTTTATCGAATTCTGAACATTGGCATAGTGATGGTACATTTAAGGTAAATCTAATATAAATTATTAATTGTAAAAGCAAATTCATTCTATGCTTGAATGTTTTCTAGATCGCACCTCAACTTTTTGAACAATTATATGTAATACATGGCTTTATTTGTGGTCGGGCTCTACCATTGGTTTATTGTATGTTGTCAGGAAAATCTGAAGCTTTATATGATGAAATATTTAATGTGATTTTACAACATGTATCTGGACGTCCAAAATCAATTACTATTGACTTTGAGAAAGCTGTAGAAAATGTGATCAAGAATAAACTACCAATGACATCAATTAGTGGTTGTTTCTTCCACTTCAAGCAATGTTTGTGGAGGAAGATACAAGTGAGTATTTTTTACCATACCACAACTCATATTATTCTAAATAATTCTCATGATACTTGGTCTTTCTATTCAGAATCTTGGATTACAAGAATTGTTCGTTGATAATTCGGAAGCACGTCGATATTTAAAAACTTTTGGTTGTTTGTCGTTGATTCCTGAAGCATCTGTAATACTTGAATTTGAAAGAATTCAAATTTCTGCTCCAGATTCAATAGCTAGTATAACTTTTTCAATAATTGAAGTAACTGTATGATTAATTCTTAAAAATTTTCTAGATTTCGTTGATTACTTCGAAGATACGTTTATTGGTCGTTTGATTCGTAATAATCGTCGTCGTGCTGCTCGTTTTTCAATTAATATGTGGAATTGTTTCTCACGATTAGCTGAAGACCTACCACGTACAAATAATTCATCAGAGGGATGGAATCGAGCTATTAAAGTAGGAACAATTTTGAATGCCTTTTCTCTTTGTACAACTAATCATAAGTTTCTGTTCAGAATTCAGCACGAGAAAATCCATCAATCTATGAATCTATTATAGATTTGAAGATGGAACAACATGCAAACCTTATAACTGCTGAACAATTGCAAGCTGGACGTGTAAAAATAAGAAAACGTGTTAAATATGAATATCTTGATGAACAATTACAACAGTTAGCTTCAACTTTTCATTTAATCACAAGAGATTTGTATTTTAAACGAGCTAGAGCTCTATTTAATTTTTGATATGAGTGTAGATTTATTCAAATAAAATTATCTTGTTCTATTACTTTACTTTTTTCTTGATATGAGGCTCAATTGTCGGGAGCTCAACTGTCGGGAGCTCAACTGTCGGGAGGCTCAACTGTCGGGAGGCTCAACTGTCGGGGGCTCAATTGTCGGGGCTCAACTGTCGGGGCTCAATTGTCGGGAGCTCAACTGTCGGGTCACCAGTATTTTGTAAGGAGAGCTGCAGAATTCATAGACTTCAAACCTTAAAGATACGAACTTCTCGTAAAATAGACGCACTTTGAACCGTTGTGAATAAAGCAAGAAATTTTCGAAAAATTTGTATATAGAAGATACGAAGTCTAAAAACTGTGAAATTCTTCATACAAGCCACTGCATGTTAGACATACAAAGGGAGATAATACCAAGAAAAATTCAAAAACAGCACTTTTTCCAAAACCTGAGGGCTAACACACAGGCTTCTAGTGAATATACATATTTTAAATTCAATATTCTACCCAGTCTCAATAGGAACTCGATTCATTTGTAGAGTTTCACTAGAGTGCTATACAATATTTGTAGGCAAAAAAAGTAAAATCAACGGTTCTTACACCACACCGGACTTAACTGTACTATGGATGGGACTCTGAATAAAAATAATTTAATCGCTCGTAATTCTAATTGTAATGAATCGGTTCTTTTTTGAAAATAACTTTACGAAACTTTGCGCCATCAGAATTTATATGGAACTATTGCATGTCTAATAAAGACAATATCTAACATATAAACAAAGTTGACATTGGTCCGTTAGAATATTCGTGTTCGTCCAGAAATGCCTATGAAAGAAGAACGAAAATTGGTTCTTATCGTTGTATAACTCAAACGATGGAATCTAACAGTTACTGAAGGCATCGATTAATTTGATTTTGTGGGATCTTTGAAGAATGTATGGCTAGGTTATCGTTCTATTAGTCTTTTATGCTAATATGGACGGTCTGCAAATTACCGAAAATGTAATGAGCCGTATGTTTGAAAGAAGCCTGTAAAAATACATGCCTGTAATCATGATGGATATATTTAAACGGTAGTCGGTGTTGCCAAATAATTTACTGAATATCGAGACACAATTCGTAGAATTGCTCAATGTATATTTCAACTGGCGGAAGAAGAAACAAAGTTGGAACCGGACAGCTTTTTTCTATCCGGTCCGGCAAGCAACCGGCCGGATGAATTTTACAGCCAAACTAGCAAAAATCCGGTGAAAATAACCGACCATAAAACTATCTATTCACAGATAATGGTGGTGAAGGAGAATTGAATATTCATGTACGGAAATCCGAATTAGAAATAAGCAACTTACATTTACCAAAATTTAAATAAATCGAAAAATAAATTTAAAAAATTAAATTGATTTTCAATTTAAATATAGATTTATATACTTTTAAATTTTTCAAATTTATTTAAATCTAGTTTAAACCAAGATAACTTCAATTTAAACTAAATAAAATTCAATTTAAATTCATTCCGTTGGATTTAAATCCAATTAAATGGTTGTACGTTGAATTTACATTGATTTAAACTGGATTTTAATAAATTTAAAAGGCTTAAATAAAATTAAAATAAACTTCAATTTACATAATTTACATTTAAAATAAATTTAAATTTTCATCTCTAAAAGATTTTTATTTATTTGAAATTTAACTTCGCAAAAATTTAAATTTAAAATAAGTTAACAGGCGATCACCACCCCTAATCGGAACTGGAAACTAAAACTTGAGAATGAAACTATCACCATCATATTTTATAGCAAGGTGCGTGAAGTTTTTGAGCCCGATATCTATGTAAGTTAGCTATTCAGATCAAATCTGTTTTTTTTTTACCTTAATTTCAAGAAAAAAGAGCCAGTTTACAATAAATCTAGCACAACAGTGTAAATATTTATTTTTCGTCATTCAGGCAGCTGTCTAAGTAGAATTACAAAACAAATTATATGATCTAGGTTAAATTAAGCGGTACACGAGAAAGTAATCGACAAAGATATAAAGAGAACAATGAACTGTTTTCAGTTAGGTTGATGGCACAAAGTTCATCGAGTCTTTCGCAAACACATTCTTCTGATGTGAAAATATCATAAAAACACCTTTTTCCATAGAGGAAATTCTTGAATACAAGCAGCAATTTTTTAATGATGAGCTGGCAAAAATCCGATCCAGTCCGGCCTGGCCGAACCAGTTCCAACTCTGAGAAGGATACAAAAAAGAGACATAGATATTGATTAACGGTAGCCTATTCGAACGATTTCTAGTTGATGCTGTATATGAGCTGCTCAATATTTCAGAACAATCGGGAACGTTTCTGATACGTTCAAATCCTCTGATGGCAGCATCTAATTATTAGAATGTAAAATATTGCAGCAGTGATGAATGATTCTTTTTGTTTAAAGTTTTGTTGTTTCTATTACCATAAACATCTATTGTTTTTCAATAGCAAATAAATTCGAAAGTAATCGATCGAAACGGTGTTCAATGTATGCGGCACATTCTTCTATATCGGTTTCTTTTTAGTGTTGTAACAATATCGATGCTATTTATTTGCTTAACTTATACTACAATGGCATTACCTATATGTTCCACACATATCGGGTTACACTTTTCCATGTTCATTTTTATCCCTTTGTAGACCATCACGGAACACGATATCTAGTAAATCGAAAAACATGTTTCATCTTCAAATCTTTTACGGATTATGCTGACAGCTTGTTTTATTTAAATTTTCTTGTTTTCTTGAATATAAGGGAAAAAAAAGTAGAAACGTACGAACATACGCACTACGTCTGTCTGAAGAGTACAATATGAGAAATTGAAATGAAAAAAACATTTAGAATACGTGAGAATTCAAATGTATGTAAATGACGCGCTAATAACATCACTGATAACTGGAAGAAAGAGTGCATGATAGAAGGACATAGATATTGAAGTCTCCTTAATAGCGCTTGATAATTTTTATTGTTGCCCATATTGAATAATTTTATCAATTATTTCTTTATGATTCTCTTTTATTTTATTTTCAAATTGAGATCATACTTCGCGTATTTTATTTCCTTTTTGTTCGTAGCACTTTTTACAGAGAGCGATCCCACCAAGAACTTTTTGACCACATGGTGTTGGATCTCCTTCATTTATATGCTGATAGCTTAAATTCCATCCCCATGGATAAGAAGATCAATGGGCCATTATGTTGTGAAAATGAATAAAATAATGAGTTGGAGTAGCCGAACAGGCAAAGTTTTCGACAAAAATATTTCCAATGTCGTGCTAATGTGTCATCATAGGATCGTTGTTAGTCATTACTGTTTGCCATTTCAGCAATACAAACTATCTGAAAGATTTCAAAGAGAACTGAAAATATTGGTATGAGAGTTATGAACTTTATGTGGAGTGCAAGTCATATATTAGGTTTTGGCTACGAACAATATTTGGAACGGCAAGATTATCAATTTTTAACGAGAACAAACAAGAAAATATGGAAATCATTATGCGTATTGCGATAAACAGCCGATTCAGGCTGCAATCAATTCTACTAAAAAGGGTTTCAAACAGTGATATTATTACTTCTGTCATGCGTAATATATCCGACAAAGTTTGATCCATAGTTATTTCTTCTTTGACAGGCAACCTTCACGATATCTAGATAGATAATGTTCAAGTCTTGATAAAGGATGGTGATCGATTAATGAAAAGTAGAACTCCAGCTAGTCTTAGAAAACAATGAAAGCTAATTAAAAAACTGTGCATTGTAATTTATAAGCAGATAAGGATTTCTCTCAAGATTAATGCGCTACGGTTGCTCAGATATATGTAATATGTTTGCATGGTTTGCTTTAATAACTCTAAAACCGTTAACTAGTTGGCTCTGACCAGAGACAGAAACTACCGGAGCACAAGCGAAGAAGAAAAAATAAAAAACAAAAGAACTACGAATTTTCAGTTACTCTCATTAATGCTTACCTGCACAATATGATGTGTTTTTTCTTGATTCAATTTCAGTCCTTCCTAGTTATATTCCTGTTGGTCGCCCTTTTCTTGGTATTCGTCTATGCGCGTAACTGTAATTCGTTAAATATTGATCGACGATTATTCTTGGAGTCATATTTTTAATGGTTTTCTTATGAAATTTTTTACTTAACCAAATATTTATTATGGAACGTTGTGAAATCATTTTAAATATGATCTACTATTAAATGTTTCTTAATGAAATCAATTTAATGAAGCAAGTTGACTTAATCTATTATGCATGCATTAGAACATTTAAGCAATATTTGATAAACAGACAGATCAATCAATGAATAACTCTGATTGCACAATTCCAGTGACGTTAAACATTCCTTCTCTTTAACAATTCACTAATGTCACGTTAATAAATGTCACACTTATATAGAGAATATAAACATCCATTTTCACGATGCTAAGAACAATATTCTATGAAATACTTGCGAGTATTGTTTTTGATATGCTTATATCGAATATAACTTAAATCCATTATACATGTATATTAGTTTTAGATAAAGTTTGTCCAAGGAAAAAATGTGAGACTTCAGGAATGTGTATTCCATTCAATCAATTTTTGCTTGCAGTAGATAAAGTCTTGCATTTTCTTCTTGCAATAAATACATGATTCCTGCTGATGATTCTGTTATATGAATTGATTTTGCAGAGAGAAAATATTATATATTTCATATCATTAATCAAAATTCTGTCAAAATATAATCAAGTCGCTTTTCTTTCTTAAAATGATTTGATATAATTTATTCTGATAAAAACAAAAAAGTGAAAGATGAATAACACTTGTTTTCAATTTTTTGAAATTACTACAAATTCTCTTTTTCAATGAGAAAATGAAATTGTGTTTATCTCATCACAGTGTTGAATGTTATCTCATTTCTTTTCATAGTTACACATCTGGTTTCAGATTTACATAATATTTTTAATTGTGTTGTTTTGTATTTTTGCTACAACTGT